ATACTGAATGTTTCTCTTTCTGTCCGTTCTTTAAACAAGGGGATCTGATACTGAATGTTTCTCTTTCTGTCCGTTCTTTAAACAAGAGGGATCTGATACTGAATGTTTCTGTTTCTGTCCGTTCTTTAAACAAGGGGATCTGATACTGAATGTTTCTCTTTCTGTCCGTTCTTTAAACAAGGGGATCTGATACTGAATGTTTCTCTTTCTGTCCGTTCTTTAAACAAGAGGAATCTGATACTGAATGTTTCTCTTTCTGTCCGTTCTTTAAACAAGGGGATCTGATACTGAATGTTTCTGTTTCTGTCCGTTCTTTAAACAAGAGGAATCTGATACTGAATGTTTCTCTTTCTGTCCGTTCTTTAAACAAGGGATACTGAATGTTCCTGTTTCTGTCCGTTCTTTAAACAAGGGGATCTGATACTGAATGTTCCTGTTTCTGTCCGTTCTTTAAACAAGGGGATCTGATACTGAATGTTCCTGTTTCTGTCCGTTCTTTAAACAAGAGGATCTGATACCGAATGTTTCTCTTTCTGTCCTTTCTTTAAACAAGAGGGATCTGATACTGAATGTTCCTGTTTCTGTCCGTTCTTTAAACAAGAGGGATCTGATACTGAATGTTCCTGTTTCTGTCCGTTCTTTAAACAAGGAATACTGAATGTTCCTGTTTCTGTCCGTTCTTTAAACAAGGGGATCTGATACTGAATGTTCCTGTTTCTGTCCGTTCTTTAAACAAGCTACAGGAAATATACTTAAGTTATGATATTGTCAGTTATAAGGATGTATGGTACTTAGTGACGTTGTCAGTTATAAGGATGATGGTACTTAGTGACGTTGTCAGTATAAGGATGTGACGTGGATGGTACTTAGTGACGTTGTCAGGTATAAGGATGTGACATGTATGGTACTTAGTGACGTTGTCAGGTATAAGGATGATGGTACTTAGTGACGTTGTACAAGAAAGGTCACTATATGCATTAAAAACCGAAGGGTAGTAACCTGTAATTAACGTAAATCGACTCTTATAATGTATTCATAATTAAATAGTAGACGTAGCTCACACGACTTCAGTAGACGTAGCTCACACGACTTCTGTGAACCTTTGAACTTCTAATTTTAACATGTTTTGTAGCAGTGTCGTATTTTTTGTTTTCTAATTAATTGAAGTTTTCAGTAACACATAATTAGTGACTAGGTAGTGAAATAACACCGTTATTCTCCTGTCATTTTCTTAATATTCGCAACCCAGATCTGCCAGATATTGAAGAAGGGCGCCACCTATGTTTGGGATGAACACATGCAAGTTCCATACGCTTCCTTTGGAAACCAGTGGGTTGGTTTTGATGACGAGAGAAGTATCAAAATAAAGGTTAGTATCCAGCTCGTGATTTTCGTTAGTATACCTTCTTGCTAAAATTAAATATGTTTAGTTTAGCAACGTCAAACTTAAATCAATATTAAATTATGACAATAAACGAATACCAGCTTGAATAAATTTGTCTCATCATTTATATATATTTGTTTTTTGCTTATTATTAGGAGAAGGGAGAACAATTTTATAATGATTACTTTTGTAGAAACTTTCAACAAATATCCTCCAAAACACGTTGTTGTTACGTACAAGTTATTTATAACACCGTATATCCACGGTACTGTTAGATAGAGGAAACTTACAAGTTATTTATAACACCGTATTTACACGGTACTGTTAGATAGAGGAAACTTACAAGTTACTTTTAACACCGTATATCTACGACACTGTTGGATAGAGGAAACGTACAAGTTATTTATAACACCGTATTTACACGGTACTGTTAGATAGAGGAAACTTACAAGTTATTTATAACACCGTATTTACACGACACTGTTAGATAGAGGAAACGAACAAGTTATTTATAACACCGTATTTCCACGACACTGTTAGACAGAGGAAACGTACAAGTTATTTATAACACCGTATTTCCTAGATGAAGTGGTTGAAAGAGAACGATTATGCCGGAGCTATGGTGTGGACTGTTGATATGGACGACTTTCGGGGGACCTGTGGGACTCCCTCTTCCTTTTCACTTATTAGCGTCATGGCCGAAGAACTCCTGAACAAGTCCACCAGGGGGCGTGCCTACAGCTTTCAACAACGCCTACAATCAGCTTCTCAAAAAACGTCGCCTTCTGAAAACACAGTTGTTAAAAAGTTACCTACTTCACTAAAGGAGGTCCAAAAGTCGAAGTCATCAGGTATTAAACGGATTTCGTCAACATGTGGTTTTAGTTCGGAATGTGAAAATTATATTAATGGAAATTTATTGCAATATCCCTACAAATAGCGTTTAAGAAGCCTAACTACAATGTTCTTAATAAATGATATATTTTTTTTTATCGTGTTAACAGGATCCAACGCTAGGATAATTTGTTTTTTGACTAAGTGGTCTTTCAAACGACCGGGAGATGGTGAATTCGAGCTCAGATATATAGATGCGAACCTCTGCACACACGTGGTCTATGCTTTCGCTGGGATCAAAGACTATGTGATAAATACAACAGACGACTCGGGTGTGGGGCTTTATGACCAAGTATTGGCTCTGAAACAGAAGAACAACATGTTAAAAGTGTTATTAAGCGTTGGAGGCTGGATGATGGGATCTACGCCCTTCAGGAAGTTGACGGAAAATACATATAGGTAAGGCTTAGAGCACTGATTCTAGCAAAGTGTGAAGCTTAGTGCACTGACTGGTACTTCTAGTAACACAGTAGGCTACGTGCACTGTCTGTTATATTTAGCAACAGATAAGGCTTAGTGCACTGACTGGTATATCTAGCAACAGGTAAGGCTTAGTGCACTGACTGGTATATCTAGCAACAAGTAAGGCTTAGTGCACTGTCTGTTATATTTAGCAACAGATAAGGCTTAGTGCACTGACTGTTATATTTAGCAACAGATAAGGCTTAGTGCACTGACTGGTATATCTAGCAACAGGTAAGGCTTAGTGCACTGACTGGTATATCTAGCAACAAGTAAGGCTTAGTGCACTGTCTGTCACACTTAGCAACAGGTAAGGCTTAGTTCACTGACTGATATATCTAGAAACAGGTAAGGCTTAGTGCATTGACTGGTATATCTAGTAACAGGTAAGGCTTAACTTAATTCAGTGATTATGTCTAATACTAGTAGTAGCAAGTGAGGCTTAGCTTAGTTCACTGAATGATACGTGTAGAAACAAGCAAGGCTTAGTTCACTGATTGGTATTTAGCAATAGGGAAGGCTTAATTACTTACCATTACTTGTAGTAACACTGACCGATACGTTCAACGGGTACATGTAAAGCTTAGCGCACTGACAGATGCATCTAACGCGTAGCATAAATTTCATACCCATCATTTCTGACACTTACACCTATCATCCACATCGATACTGGGCGTGAATGGTGAAACAAGAACACTCGTGTTCATGCGGAAAGAAAACGCGTTATTTCCCTGTCTACTCTTGTGGTATAACATGTTGTTGACTGAGTAATACGGGCAGTATCACTCTGACTCTATTTATGCACGTTTTCTGTTAAAGTAAATGACATTATTATTTACTTATTTTCGATTTTATTACCAAAGTGAGTTGTATCGAAATATATTATGAACATTCTGTCCATCGTCGTAGCTAAAGACAGCTGAGAAATACACAGTTACTGGGGAAAGCTGAATTAGTACTGCGAAAATATTACATGTATTTACAGAGGGGTAGTAGAAAACATAACTCATAAAAACTAAGAATTAAACATACAGATTCAAGTGCTCTTATTTTAACTAAAGACAGAAACGTTCAGAATAATCAAAACTAAATACTACAGTTTACATCTGGGTAGCATCAACTGGGGCGAAGTACGTGGTTGTTAATATTGTAGAAGATGTCATAAAGGCCACATTATATACACAAAACCAAGACATTAAGTACATA